CCTCAAGCAATCATGTTTAGAAAATATTTTTTGGATTGTTTTTACCAGCGTTTCAGCTTTCTAATTTTACTAGTTTATGTCTTTACAAAGTCAACTTGACCTCTGTGACTTGGATGCAGACGAATACTAGGTTTATATTGTTAACAATATAAACAAAAATTACTAGACTTACTTGCTATGTTTCATCTACAGTTTCAGTAGCCTTGATCACACAAATAACACTGAAACGTCTACTAATTTTTATTGGATTATCAAGAGATTATACTTTTCAATTAAATATTACTGTATATGAAACCAGATGAAATCCTTTTGAGAATCCTAGTAATCACAAAGGTAAAGGAATTCACAGAATTCTGCATTGGCCTACAAACATTGTGATAAGACTTGCAAGTGCTACAATTTTTTATGGCACAAGTTAAGTAATATAGTAATACAAATTACAAGTAATATCTTTCAGCTATGTCAACATACTGAAGGTTTAACTATTAATGAAAAGGATACAAAACTGGCTACATCATCGTCTTCATACACTGTAAACTTGTGATCTTTACCCACAATGGCAACAGAACAATTCTGAGGAAAAATGGTATTAACACACAAAAAAAGAAATATTAAAATGGGGTTTCATTTCATTACAAAATTATGCACTCATCTAATAATTTGGCAGCTTGTAAGGCATTTTCTAATTTTTTTTCCCCACAAATAATAGTTTTAAACAATTTTGTTGTATTTCACAGTTCAACCTATATAACTAACTGTTTTGTAAACAATGAAATGACGTAAACATATATTTTTACCCTAGGAGCCAGACCAAGTTTTGTATGCACTTTGAGGTGCAGAAAATTTGACTTCAGAAATTGGTTCAGGGTGGTCCAAGAATCATTTTTGGTTTGGTAACATATTTTTAAAATGTGGCGAAGGGTCAAAAAGTCAGGGTCAAAGTTCAAAGCTAGAAGGTCCTTGTATCTCCGCAACCACAGGTGGTAGAGTTGAATTTGGCGCCAAATTGTTCGGAACATGCATATTTCTATTTTCTTTAATAGAACATTTTACTAAAAAATGATAGGAAATGCCGTTTCTGGCCTTTTACATGTTTCAAGGTCATAGCCATATGGTCCTTATATTTTCGCAACCACTAGTGGTAGAGAGTTAATTGTGGTGTCAATTTGTTCGGAACAATCATGTTTCTATTTGGTTTAATAAATGAGTTTGCTAAAAAATGACCGGAAATGCCATTTCTAACCTTTGACATACTTTATATATATCTCCGCAACCACTGGTGGTAGAGAGTTAAGTTTGGTGCCAATTTGTTTTTTAACCTCCATGTTTCTATTTACTAATTCAAAAATGAGCGGAAATGCTGTTTCTAACCTTTTACATATTTCAATGTCATAGCCTTAGTCCTTATATCTCCTCAAACACCATTGAACATTCATGTTTTTATTTTATCTATTGTATATCTTTTATATATCTAATGGAATAGTTTGCTAAAAATGGCTGGAAATGTTGTTTTTGACCTTTCACATGCCGACAATATATCATTACTATTAAGGCATATTTATGCCTATCTCTGTACTTACTTGCTGTAAAGACTTAATATTGATCTGAAAGTATTCATTTACACATGTTTCTGTTTTATATATTACTGCATACTGTATATCTCTACCAAAAAATCCAGCCTTTTTCCCATAGCATT